AATCAATAGATATGACGTATTTGACGGAAAAGCAAAGAGAGTGCGAATAATCCAATCAAGCAATTTTATTAGGGGGATTATATGGGGGGAAATAAAGGTTCTCATTTTCGCCGGAAGAAAAAACCCACTTTACCGCAATTGTTAGATTAGCAGCTTGGGCTCGGTCTTTTAAGGAAGGTACGCTGAAGTAGATTAGCTGAATCTATAATTTCCAAAATATATGCGCTTTATTCCTGAACAGCATCAGTTCACCCGTCGTGAATAACTCCATTTTATGAAAATTTTATCATAGATAAGGAAGGCAAAAGTAGGCTTACTCATTAATTCCAAGAGAAACTTCTGATTTTGCAAAAGGATGGGTACAAGGGTCCTTAGCAGGATGTGCTACTGTAGGTTCGCTTGTATTTCTAATAATTCAGCAGCGGATACATGCTGGTTCTTCTTTAAGCATATACATGCCAGTAGCATAGAAAAATATAGAAATTCACCCATAAAACGTTTAATTTTAAAATCATTGAAGGTGCGTTTACTGTAACAATCTTTTATAACGTACCTCTAGTAAGGTATACGGTACATAGATCATCAATTTGCAAAGTATAAAAGTGTTTCCCAAGTGGATATACGTGAGTAAAGTCGAACACTTGCTGTTGGAAATAGTAGCGCGACATACGGTACTTTTTCTTTCTTACTAGAGCTTTCTTTGCTGACTTATCCCTTCTTACGGTAAGCTGAGGCATACGGTAACTTTACATTGTTGGAAAAAAGCAACTGTTCTATTGCGCGCGGGATACAATGGCGCAATCACAGGCATTATTGAGGACACTTAGACCTTTTTCTTCTAAGCTTTTTTTCTTGCACTGTGGAGACTGTAATCTCAAAATTGTACGTAATTACAGATGTACGGGTTAGAACGTCCGACAAATATCGAATGGTCTATTCAGACTACCAACGATTAGAATTGGAAAAGGTACGGTATTGAAGATTTTTATGTTGTAAGCAATTCAAGCACAGTAAGCGAAGGAAATTTGTTTCAGGAGTTCTGTACCAGTACATTTGTCACATCAGAACGAAAGGCTGAGCTATCATCGTTGTTAAATTTGACTGAACGTCAAATCAAAATCTGGTTTCAAAATCGGTAAGCCTATAGTTACACCTATGCTGATGAAAACACTGAATTACTGTAGGGTACTGTACAATGTTGTTTTTCCTCCAAAAGGGATTAGTGGCGGCAATGACCCGATAAGTGCAGTTCTCATTACGTCATACCATAACTCATGAACACCTTTACCTATCCTTTGATCCTTGCCGATTCATAGGATCTGCTCATCTTATCTAGGGGTTCAGGTGGTCGGCGCAGGTGGGAGATCCTTTTATTGAAATTAAATTGTGGGATCTGTCCTCAAATGACGAAGTATCATTTAATGCTAAAATCGGGCTACATTGACAATTTCATACTGTACATCCATATTAATGCAGAGCCGATCTGCAGTACCAGAGACCAGTACTTTATAATATTAGAATGGTTTGCTGTACTTTATACTACTAAAGGAATTATTTCATAGATATTTTTTTGGGGTTACATGTGATGTTAGGGTTCGATTGGCAGATAGCTGGACGTTACATTTGTCCCACTCTGTTGTCGTTTTAAAATAATATTTGCTTCTAACATGATGATCCGGTCTTTTAATTTGCAAATAGCCTTATATACTATTTCCTCATATAACCTCTCTTCACTCTTAAGAATCCTAGATTTTACGAAATACGTTGAATTCAAAATTGCGACCAAAGGATTTCGTGTGCTTGACTATCCAGTAGTTTATCGAAACAGACTTAAGCGCCTAACTCGCTAAATGACCTTCAATACACTTGCAGTTACGTGGGAAATTTTTTAAATTGAACTTTCTTTTTTCTTTCTGCGCTCTCTCCAATATAGATTGCCTTACCAAGGTAAATTTCCTATCGCATACCGTTAATGCAGCGACCTTCATCACATTGTATTTGATCCAGTATATAAACCATAAAAACGTCCTCTCGGTTAAGTTAGAACCGTGCACGCTGGAAAATTGCTTCAATTTTACGGTCTGTTAATTGCACATCGCATGCTACGCCGGTGCGGGTTACGGTAATCGCCGTACTCGTCGACGTCGACGACGACCATCACAAGGGTGGTCCTCGCGTCCGTGTGGGCCGTTGCGACGAGCGCAAACCGAAATTTACGACCGACCTCAACCGTCTGAACGCTTCTATAAACAAACGCTCACACGTGAAACGAGGC